TTGCCGGTTTTGAAGGAGGAGGCACGTCCTGGCCGTCGCCATGCCGGTGTGAGAGCTCCTGTGCGGGCACTGGGGCCTGCGGAGAGGGCAGGGCTCAAGGGCTGAGGGCGCGTCGGGGGAGTCTTCAGGGTCCTCCACTGTTTTCTGGAGATAGGAGTGAAACACTGATCTTGCTATCCTTAAATGTTGGCGCAAGAGCTAGAAACCTTAAAGCAGACGGAATCCTGACTGCAGAGGTCAGCTGAGGACACAAACGTGCTTAACAAGTCTTTCTGTAGGCTGGCTCCAAAAATCTTAAGATTTTTGCTAGTTACTTCAAATATAACATTAGGTATCACATTGACACGGGGAAGATGGACTTTGTTACCTCCTCTTTGCCAATATCCTCGTCCTAATCGATTTAATATGTTTGCATTCTTTTTTAGTATGACGACCTTGTTTGCTTTAGAGATATCAAACCTGGTGCCCCCCACCACTATCTGGTGGTGCCGGTGGAGCACATGGGAAACTGCAAAACACTGAAGGCAGAACACATACCTGTAGGTAAGGCTGTTACTGTGTGTTTAACCTAAAGGAAAATAATTTCGTACAGCCTTAAATACTGTGTCGTCAAGTAAATTACACCTTTGAGCACCATTTAATTGAGGATGTAAACATGGAAATAGGTGGTGTGAGTGACAGTAGATAGGGATTTACTCTTCCTGGGAACTTCCATGTGCTATTCTAGAATAGCACGGTTTTTTTGTGCAGTTCTAGAAAAACATTGCACTAGTGCATGAAATCTCTTTTGTTTGTATGGAGTATAGATACCTCAGCACTTCGTTGGAACTGCATCTTTATTTTTAAAGCATTTATGTGCTGCTTTATTGTGTTTTCTTAGATATATATGCAATTTTAAATTACATGAAAAATTACAGAAGAATTTTATAAAATTTGTATTTTAAAATAGGTGCTACATTATTTTTCAGGAAAAAAGGAAATGAGAAAAGAAAGAGGGAAATAGTGTTCCAATAAGGTTCAATAATTGTTGAAAAGATAAAATGCTAAAATATTGATGCTATGATTTATTGTTGATAGACTTTTTTTTTTTAATTAAGAAACATTGTCCTGGCATTTGTTTCACAAGAAATGCCTAGCTAAGTGTGTTGAGTAACAGAAGAAACGACAGCCATACATGCATGAAGAGATTCCACCTTAGGTAAATTTACTGGTGATGCAAGAAAGGAGTTATAGTTGCATATTGTAAATCTTGCATCACTGTATTTCTCTTCTAAATGTAGGGTAGTTTTCTCCAGAAAATACTTCTGTATGTGTTTGGCTTCAAGACAATTCCTTAGACTTTTGCCTTGAGTTTTTGTATTAGGGTTGTTTCTTTTCTCAGTGATACTGTAACAAAACTTTGTCCTAGTAATAAATAGGACTGACAGTTTTATTTTAAATTTGTGTACCATCTCTGAAACTTCCTAACTTATGCCAGGCTGCACAGGACCTAGAGATCAAAGTCCTGTAGCTGTGTGGAGATAGATAGAACACTGGAATTAGTGTAAACGTCATCATTCTGACCAGTCAGTATTTGCTGGTTTCTTAATAAAGGTATGGCTTTGGCCAAGGGTCTTAGAATAAGAACACTTAAAAGCATCATTAATGTGGAAATTGGTAACAGTGCCAATGTTCATGTCAATCATTGCACAACACTGTCTTGACAATTTTTGTTTGATTACGAGTAGTTGCAGTATTTCTATTTTGAAAAGCTCATGTTTGTCATCCCAGTGTAATCAGTTTGTTGAAGCTAATATTCTGAAGAGTACATTTTTAAATGACGTGATGACATATAATGTGTAAAAATATTACTTAAACATTTATTTGTGTTTAATAGTGAAGAAGATGATGGAAGTTGGAAAAGCCGTCCTCCAGAGAAATAATTTTAGTGACTTGAATGATATAAGGTATGTAATGGAAACCTTCTGCATTTGAGTATGTTTTTTACTTTTCAGAAAGCTATTTTAGAGATGGTGACAACAACTGCAATATTGAAGAAATCAGATCTGCATTCACTTATCACATGACTTCTCAAGTAGAGTGTCCTGGCATTGAATATAAGCGGTTTTTTTCTGATGAACTTCCAGAGCAGGTTGTATTCCAACTGTGAGATTCTTTCTTGACCACATCTTGGGATAGAGAGGGCACTTCAAACAACTTATCTAAAAAGCTACTCTTTAATTACGTACTGAAAATATTCTCTAAATCCCACATTCCAGAAGAGGGATAAACTTTGTCCTGTACAAGCAGGGCACTGCATTGTATTTCAGTCATACCTGCATTCATTTGGTTTTAGCGCTGCAACCTTTAGTTTAAGCCAGTGCCTTTGACAGCCAAAGTAAATTGTAACATAATTAAGGTAGTGTACAGTATAGGGAGCTGGGCCTTCATGATTAAAATAGGTACAAACTACATTCATCTAGTAACAGTTAGGTTTCCAGCTGAAAATTAGGTATGATACATTTAAGATATGTTTTAGTTTTTAAACCCTCCTTTTTAACAAAATGTATATTAAATACAGAGATGTGAAGGAGGAGGTTAATGGGATTTTGGAAACGTTCCCTGAGAGCATAATGGAAGTGAAAGGGCATATTTTTGTTCCTGCCTTTATGTACATGGAAAATGCGATGAGTTGAGCTGTTAATTCAGTTGATCATGTTAAATAACTTGTGATGTTCCACTTCTTCCTGAACTAACATCACCATTATTTTTTTTACTCATTTTCCTTTTCTGAAGAATGGGTTTTCACTGGCCTCCATTCTGCTCAATATCCCACTTGCATCTTCATGTCCTGGCCCCAGCCAGTCAGCTAGGATTCTTATCCAGACTCGTGTACAGAATCAATTCCTACTGGTTTATCACGGTAAGTGTAATGTACGTGAGCTTTTTGGTAGGTTTTCAATTGCAAGCTGAAAATGTGATGTCTTTCTAACGTTTTAATTATGTCCAAAAATTCTTTGAGCAATTATTTTTATCATGGCTGTAATTATTAATTATGTGTATTTTGCATTAACTATTGTATAGAATGATAGAATGGTTTGGGTTGGAAGGGATCTTACGACCATCTAGTTCCAACCCCCCTGCCATGGGCAGGGACACCTTCCACTAGACCAGAGAAAATATAATGGTAAAAACTTCAATGTTTATGCTTCTAAAGGGAAATGGAGTGCCAATAACATTAACAGCAAACAAAACAGTAGTTCTGGACCTAATGTGTAGCTTATGTTAATGTGATACGCTGCTGAGGACACTTTGTAAGTGTTTGTTCCTTAATTTAAAAGGATGTATTCAAATGTGATGGACTGTATTGTACATACCCTGGTTCATCCAATTTAGGTGAAAAACACGTCTGCTTAATCATTGCTTTTATCAGTTCACGTGTTTTTTCTCGTCACCTTTAGACTAGAACAAGTGTCTGCTTTATAAAAACATTGTTTGTACTGATTTGTGTCAGTAGAGATAAGCAATGAGACTGAACTGGCACTGACTAAATCACTGTTTGAAGATCTCTCTCTCTCGAGGACTAAAGCTTACTCTCACTGCTTTGACACAGCAGAGAACTGATCCTTGCAGTGTAGCCACAGCATCCTGGTGTCACTGTGCAGCCCCAAAACAAAGATGCTGAAAAAGGTCTGTCTCATCTAAAGAATATAGACAGCCTCTTACTTAAAGAGAAAAAACTCAGCTGCTTCACAGTGGTACGTTGCTGGAGTTCTCACCTAGCTTAAAAAAAGCAAATGTGTCTCTGCTGTATTGCAGAGCAGCACACAGATATTTGGCCCTCAAATAAATATGGCTGTGTAGTTTTACTACTTGCTGTCTTGGATTAGCTCAGGGAGATCTGTACCACGTTTGGCTCTCCAGTATGGATGCACTTCAAAAGATATTTTGCCCTGTTGTCAAGTTGGAAAATGTTCTTGAGTTGGTTTTGGTTTTGTTTCTTTTTTAAATTATAATGGCTTGAATGTGATTCTTGTTTAGGAGTGCAAAACAAGATTCAGATAAAGCATGGAGCAACTGAAAAGGAAGTTATCTAGCTTTATTTGCAAATAAACTTCAAAAGCAAAAGTCCTGTTAAGTTGTTCCTACCCTAAGTAGCTGACTGCATTTTTACTGCATGTATTTAAAGTATGCCAAACTTAAGCTTTTTACCTTTCAACATGGTTCCTTTGGAGATCTCAGTAAAACCTCAAGCGCTAATTCAAATTAAAAGATTAATTCAGTGGGACTGGCAAAAAACCAAAAGGCTGACAGTGAACTGATTTGTTTCAGAAGTGCCCTTGTCAGCTTCCATGTGCCCGGTTTGGCCTGCTGGAACATCGCTGGCAGGCTTCCTTCTGCCCTGAGCCTTTCTGAGGGCTCTGTGGGCTGGTGCTGTTAGATACACAAAATACAGCTGTCCCAGCTATGCGATAGATGCGCAAATAGCCATATGATGAGAAAAGTATGCGTGAGCATAGTGACATAACCAAAGAATGGATGTGTATCTCGTGGCATGAACCACATACTTGAACGCACTCCATCCCTCAGCAGCACACATGGCTGGTGTGCAGCTTGTTGGGTGATGAGAGGCCACAACGCGCTGTTTTGGAGCATCTCCCAAAGAACTCCAGATCTCACAGCTTGGTTGTTCTGACCACTGTTGTCTTCTGAGGTCTTTGAAACCACGCTGCTTTATCTGCTATTTATTTGCTCAAACCTCTGACCTTCCTAGGTTCTGGTTTGTCTTCTGATCACCTAATGGGAGTTTGATGTGAAAAGATGTCTGCTGTTTAAAGAAATCGTTGATTTCTGCTTCTGTTGTATGCTTTGTCTGTAAAAATGAAAAGTAAATGCTCTGTCAGTGTAACTTACATTTTAAAGTGCGATTTTCAGTAAACTGAAGGTCCATGGTGTAGTTAATGCATTGCTTTCTCTCTTTCATAGGCTGAACAACTGATTGAGCGACTGCAAACTGAAAATGCTGCCAGTTGAAAGTGCTCTTAGCCTTGTGTCGCTAGCCAGTTTGTTCTTTGTCTTTGAACTCTGATATAGGGTTGCACAGTTTGATGTTGCCAATAATATACCAGGACAAAAAAAAAAAAAAAGCTTTCATTCCTTATGAGGAGATACACACATAATTTGTACCTGCCAACCTAATTCTCCCATTCGGATACTTCAGTCTGTATACTTCTCTGACAATAAGGCCTTGTATCTTAATTACAATTTTATATTTGTGTCTATATATGTACATGCATAATACCTACACACGCATATGCACACATGCAGAGACCTTTCCTAGTTTAAAGGCAGGGTATAGCAGCAGAATGTATTGCAACTAAGGCAACAAGCTGCTACTAACGGCACGTACATGGTACCAAAGGGAATATTTGTTGTGGAATCAAGCTTCTATTTTAAAGCTGCATTGTTCTGGGATTGCAAGCAACATTTAAAACGTTTTTACGTTTCCATCTGTATTTGTATATGTTAGTTATGCGTAGTTATTGGTAGGCACATTGCTGAAAGTACACTACTAACTTTGTGGTGCTAAACCACTTTAATATATTACCTGTCTTTTAAATGTTAATACAATAGGTGCCCAAGATGTGATAATGCTATATAACATAGAATATAGTTTAAATGTATGCGTAAGTGGTTGTATGTTGGACTTGTTTCCCTCTTACGTGCACAACATTTTAAGTTAGTTATTGTATGTTTACAAAAAATGATGTGAGAGTTCAGAGGAATTG